CATTCACTGCTTCTTGGCACTCTTTTGTGTACTGTGTGCTAGGGCAGTTTTGGTCACATCTGTGAAGCAGGCTGGCCCTGCCATTTCCTCTGTAAATTAATGGCTTTATAATGTATCAGAAATGAAGATGCACATGACAAAAGTCAACGTGGCCCCACAAGGTCAATTAAGATAGCACCCAGTAGCTTCTTGGAAGACCGTCTCCCTTAAAGACAGTCAGTGTGTACATATAAATATGTCATTTATTAAATAGCACAGTGCAAGACAGAGAAAGGTCAAACAGATTCAAAGTGATCCAGAAACTGAAGCACCTTCAGTAACAACATGGTGAAAAAAATATAAAAAGACAATATTTGTCAAGTTCTTTGATACAATTTACAGTGCACCACAGTTAACTTATTTTTATTAGGTTACTGGTTTGGATCAAACTTTTTAAAACAGAGAATTTTTGAAACATGGAGTGGACGCAAATTTTATTTTTTTGTGTGTTGGGAAATGGCTTAATTTTAATTCTCCAATGATACAAAAAAAAAAAAAAGTTACATTTAAGGCTTCTAATTTGCATAAGCACACTGCAGGCCACACAGCTGAAGTTGTATTTTTGGTTTTAGATGCTCAAAGATTGCAAAAAAGATAATTTATGGTGGGCGTACATCTTATGATGGACACAGATCTTGTGCCAGAAGAAGAGTTAGTCTGATAGAGGAAGCTAAAGGAGCATTACACTCCTTTCTGCCATCTCTCAAAATGCATAAGTGAAATAACAGTGGTAAGCTGTCACCGCCTGTGTAGCAATATGCATTGTAGACAAGTCAAAAGTTTTCCAACAGAATCGGTTTTATTATGCAACTGCACTGGGCGGGGGGATCTATTCACACACGTGCATACACGCGGGTATATTCACATCCTTGAATAATAGTTAATTGTGAGGCAGTTAACCTTGGAAACCATTTGTTGGGAATTTCTCTGATGCAGATCCATTTTAACAAATGACAGGCACACAAGAAAACGGATGCTTTCTCACATAGCTCTCATTCACTTCAATCATCTTTGCCAGTAGAGGTTTCTAGCTAATCGTTGTCCGCTGAGTAGTGGGTATTGTTATTGTTTCATTATTTTGCTTGTATCCTGTTCCTCCTGAAAGGACCTCAGAGTGATCTGCAGGTTCCCCTCCATATATCCTCAAACCAGCCTATAAGGATAGATTAAGCAGAAGGATGGTAGTTTGGTCCAAGGTCAACTAATGTATTTTATTGACCACATGGGGATTGGAACCCAGAAATTTCAATACTCTAGCCATAAAGATACCTCAGTTCTTTTAATGCTATGGAATTATTAGTATTCTGTAAAATATGTATGACATGCAAATTCCAAATTTTTCAGTGTTTTTGCTCCACTAAACCTTGCCTAACACTTTTAATGCAATCTTAATTTGCTATTTTTTTTCAAAATACTTTGTTTCAAAGATGACATTATTGCTAAAAAGCCTCACTAATAGCAACTATTAAAAATAGATAACAAAACACTTAAAGGCCAATCGTGAGATGACCCTTTGCTAAAACTGAGCTGACCAATTGGTTAATTTTCCTTTTAAGTGCTTGTGCTGAAAAGCAACCGTTCTTCCAAGAAAGCACTGCCTGTTTCCAGGATACTTACACACGCACAATGAGTCATGATGGAATAGATTCAGTAAACATACAGCTGTACCGAACACGAGCTAAGCTCCATTCAAGGCCAGGAAAGAAAATGAGCGCAAATAAATATTAAGGAGGTAAGGGGAGGGGAGGGAAAAGAGGTAGGAAAGCGGGGAGGACAAAAAAGCAAATAGAAGGCAAACACGCTCTGCCCCAACAGCTGATGTTGCTTGCCTCAGTACTCTGCCATAGCTTTGTGAAGACAGATGACATTCAATTGTATGTCTAATGCAAAAGACAGTAACTGCTGAAACCTGAGCCAGCTGCCAGGTGTAAAAAAAAAGGGGGGGAGGGGGGAAGGGCAAAAGAAAAGAAAAGATGATAAATCCATAAATTAATGAAAGACATCTGCTCAGGAACATAAAAGATCAGAGGAGCTGTGTACTGCAGCTGAACTAAAACAGTGTTCAAACAACCCGAGGATCTGATTGTTATATATTTACAAAGCATAATGTATTTCTGCTTAGAACAACAGCAGCAGCAGCAGCAGCAGCAGAAAGGGAGATGTGAAGAACAGGAAAAGGAAAAATTAAAGGAGGGAAGAAGACACATATATGTATCTTTGCAGCTCTTATTTTACGAGATAGATTGTTCCTCCTGATTTGAGATATTTGGAGATAAAGCACGGGGTGGCATGCAGCTATGTTTTTATCTGGCTGGAAGCTCCTTGTCAGAATTGTTACATGAAGAAATCTTTATTTTTACCCCTTCCCTTTAAAATCCTCTTAAAGGTTACCTGTCAAATGAAAATATATATATATATAAAAAGAAAGAAAAAGAAATAGGAATCGTAAGAGCAGAGTGTATTATCTGCTTAATCAATATATGTCCAAATTTATAGACATTGTATTTATATTTATATTAGGATTAATAATATACTGAAAATACGCTTCTCTCAATTTAATCAAACAGCACTGGATGATCTATAGTAGCCATGCATTTACTGCAAGTGATCTTATTTTTCTCTGAAAAAATTCTGATCAAAGTATTGCCATTTGTTAAACATTGCTTGTTAATACTGCACCCTGAAGCAGCCTCATCTTGGTGAGAAGTTACCTGTTCGACTTTCAAAGTTTTTGAATTTTATAAAACTAGCTTCTGGAAGAGGAAAAGATTATAATCTTTACTTGGGAAGAAAAATGAATGCATTACAATAACAAAACTACACCCACAATCTACTGTTGTGGCTTAATATTCTGTATGCAAATGTCCTGAGGCTGAACAAGGCTACTTTTCTTGAGATGCAAAGAGGGTGCCTGACAAGGAAGATCATGTAGTAAAACAACTAGCTGTCTGTTTCTTTGGCAATTTGAATAAAAACTTCAGTATTTGATTAAACATATTTAGTTTGCAAAGATACACAATGCATTCATGAAGCAGGCAGGAACGATGATGCAGGTGCATTTTTCTATCTTGTTTAATGTGGCATACAAATATCAACTCTCTCCCTTCACTTTCAAAAAAGGAAGATAATGGTTCAATGTTTTCTACAGTAAAAGCAAGATATATTTGAGAAGCAAAGCAAAACAAACAAACAAACAGCCAGGAAGGGCTCTTGCTCCCAAAACCTGAACTTGGCTTTTATACGCTCAGCTTACGTTCTTATCCTGGATACCTTCTCCAAGGAAACATCCTGCTTTCAGCTCCAAAGGGAAGAACTGCTGCTCTTAAGAAAAATCCTTTATATATGAATACATGAATACACACACACACACACACACACAATGTAAAGTAGAGGGGAACAAAACAAAAACCTGATCAAGAACAAACAAATCTCTCTCTGCTGTCTGTTTTTTCCTATGATGGATTCTAGATAACTCAGACAAATGGGCAGTTGTCACAAAATAAAGTAGTTCCATATTTTAAAGTAATTGCAGCCTCATTGGTGCTTTTAAAGACACATTTGCAGCCATTTGCAGCCATCACTGAAAGAGAGATCTGCAAGATGCTCTGATGCGTCATATCTCACATTTGTTTGTTTTAATATACCACTTGTACCAAGAAGCCACCAAAAGTTCTAGGAATGTATTCTTAGAACTTTTGATGGACGTGAAAGACTTAAACATCTGGTTAGGGTCTGGATGAGAAATATCTGGGAGTTCTATGCATTTACTCTTGTCAAATTTATAGTTAACTACAGAAAGTTTTTTTAAAAAAAAGTATTCAAACAAGCCAGCAGAATTCAAGATCAAGGCAAACACAGTTCTTCACTAAGTACTTGGATCTGCTAGGTATTTGATAACACCCTGTTCTGGCAATCCCAGACAAGTAATAGAGGCAGGTGATTATTAATGCCCTTATGTTGCATATTTGATTATTTACAGAAATATGGGATAATATTTTTATTACCAAGTTCTCAAAGTGCCTTAAATTATAGCCAACTGATTATGATAGGACAATTGATACCCCTCTCTGTGTGATATATCTGGGGATATGAATTCATGGATGGTAAAGAATAGGATTATGTCTCTAACACTGGATCTTCCATGTGATACAGAGCTCTGAATGTGGTATAGATCAATGTTCCCCAATGTGG